TGAAAACAAATATTAGGCCAAATACATATTAAAAGCCTAAACCTAGTTTCTTTTTTTCTTCTCCCTAGGTTTGCCGTTGAAAATCTTGTGTTGTTGCATAAAATCAGAGGAGCGGTAGTGGCAGTGTAGAGGAAGAAGATGAGATCCTAAAGTTGTAGTGCATCATCGTCGGCAACCAAATCTCATGAGTATTGTGAGGTTTTTCATTATTGTATTTTCTAGGATCGTATTGTTGTAAAGTTCCTAGAAGCTATGTGGTTTTTGTCGAGATCTCTAGATTTAAGAGATTTGTATATTTCTCATTGTATTTATTCCAATATCATAGTAGAACCTGTTGTCACAGAAAACTGAACACGGATGAACCGTTTTATTGTTTTCCGTATATTTCACTTTGTTTTGTGATTGGTTTAGTTTTCACTAAATAATGGTAGAAAGGAAAAATATTAGTGGTGAGTAATTTTTCCGAAGTATGGAGAGAACTGCCAGCTATCCTAGTTTGGTTTTCTTTTGACACAAAGATGACTAAGAATACTAAGAATTGGAGAATCTAACTTCTTGATGTTTTACTAACTAGAATTTCACAAAAAGACACACGAGTGTCTGCATAATGAGTTGAACAAAATGTAACGTTTGGAAAAACAAGAAGAATATATGTCTCTAAAACGATAGATGCTTAGATTCTCAACCTCAGTCGTGTTCCAATTTGGAAGAATCTTTGTTGCTGACAGACACTTAAAATTCATTTTGGCATACAATACTAGAATCTATCCACTCTTACACAAATATAATCCTTTTTCCAAGTTCATATTATCCTATGTCATTAACCTCAAACAACTTGTGCTTTGGCTGTATAGATTCCAGATAGACATTGGTTTTGAGCTAAAATTCCCATTATCATCATTAATATATTTCTATATCAATCAATCCACGGGACGCCGCCATCGTTATAGAATAAATAAAAAGATTCGATTTATCGTCTTAATATTTAAACAGCCGTCGTTATAGAACAAATTAAAAGATTTGATTTATCGTTTTAATATTGAAACATTTGAATTGATTGATTGGTTGTTCCTCTTTATTTCTAATATACCACAGTGTTGGTGGATGATTAGTTCATTGTGCATAAATTACTCGAGACTTTAATTAATTATATGTTTATGTTGATCGAGTTATCCCTTGTCAAAAGGTTTTCGATTCTGCATGAGGAGCTAGTTTGATCGTTACAACTTAATTATGGTCAATTTTATTAAATTCTTTATAAGCTTATGTTTTAAGATATAAGAGGGTTTGAATATATAATCACGTTTTTTACTTATTATAGGATTATTTTTATGCTTATCCAATTGTCATTCTTCCTCTTTACTGGTATATATTCTATTCCAAATGAGTTCATGAATTGAATCCAACTTTCACATTGCATCTTTCTTATAAGCTACACCTATCCTATTCCCATAAAGCTTATTTTGTTGTAAGCATATGCTTCACCACCTTAGATGGTCACAAGATTTCTAATGGTGTCTCGTCTCGTCTTAATAAATATATCGTGCTTTTCTTTTCTATAAAACATGAATAATTGGAGTTCGTTAGTTAGATTAGATTAGATGAAGAGACATATAATTTTATGGTGATTTAAAATATTGTTAGTATATGAAGTCAAGTTTTCATATATATGATGAGAAAAGGGTGGTCGTGGATTGAGGTAAAAATCATTTAGATAAATTAAATAATTAAAAGGATTTTGAAGATTTAAACTAAAAAGATAAATTAAAATTAAAAAGATGAACATGATAAAAATAGTTCTAGAGATTTAATTTCACATAATTAATTTATTAAAATCATGTCAATATGAGCTCACTAGGATAGATTTGATTCGATGCACTGCCTATACAAAAATAGTGGCATATCTTAAATATGATCAATTTTATTAGATTCTTTATAAGCTTCTGCTTTAAGATATAAGAGGGCTTGAATATATAACCACGTTTTCTACATACTGTAGGATTAGTTTTATGCTTGTCCAATTGTCATTTTTCCTCTTTAATTGTTCATATTCTATTCCAAATGAGTTCATGAATTGAATCCAACTATCTCCCTCAGGCTTATTTTGTTGTAAGCATACGTCTCACACCATACGTCTTAGCTAGATTTTTAATGGTTTATCGTCTAATCTCATCTTAATACATATGTGTCGTATTTTTCTTTTAGTAAAACATAAATAATTGGGATTCGCTAGTTAGATCAAATTAAGAGACATGTAACTTTTAAGACGATTTGAAATATTGTAAGTGTACGATGTCGAATTTTAATATAGATGATCGATAAAAAGGGTTGTTGTGGATTGAGATAAAAGTCATTTAGAAAAATAAAATAATTAAAAGGATTTTGAAGATGTAGACTAAAAAGATAAATTAAAATAAAAAGATGAACATGGTAAAAAAAAAAGAAAAAAAAGTTCTAGAGATTTGATTTCACCTGATTAATTTATGAAATCATGTCAATATAGATGGTTAGATTATTCTCTTCTCGTGATTTTGTAAATAAGAATGCTAATTTATCCAACTTTCTCTTCCAATCAAATCTATAATCTAATTTCAATCTAAGATCATGAGGGAGAATAATCTAAACATTTGTTCAAATCAAATCTATAATCTGAGATCCAACCTTGCTAGAATTTAAGCTCAAAATCAACTCCTCTATGACCAGTAGACCATAAGTATTAAAAACATAATAATTCAAACAATCACAAGGAATACTTTGAAAATAAAAAACAATCTATTATAAAAACAAATAGGATTTATAAACTATTTAGATGAGGTGATAAGTTCAACATTGATGTGAAAATTAGAATATATGAAAACAAGAAGGGAACTAAATATGAAGTGCAATATCTATCTTCGATGCTGGTCATTTTTTTCTATAACCTACTATTTTTTCGAAATAGGAAAAATATGTGTATTCGTATTGAATCACTCATTAACCTAACAATTAAGAATGATTTTATTTTTTTATTCACAATTTTATTTCCTTCATTATCCCTTTCTTAAAAACTTTTTAAAATATTTCTAGAAGATATAAAAATATATGAAAATAACCTAGAAATTAGAATAAAAAGAAAATTTGAAAAAAGAGAGATTAAATTAATAATATAATTACGAGCCATCATGACTTTGCCATTCGTTCTAATTTCCAAGGAGTTTGTAATAAAACTGTAGGTAAAAAAGCCTTTATTTTGATTGATTATTATTTGGAGGGACTCAGACATTTCAAGCGTTAATCCAACTCAATGAGACTTATCATTTTCATGGCATTGTTTTTTCAGAGATTTGCCCACCTCCTCGCCCGTTTTGGTCATCACACTATGCAATTTGTTGACTCAATTACACTCCCAATGAGGAGGATACAACAAACAACAAACTAAACAAATCGTTACTAAATTATAAATAAGAAAAATATATCGACCTGAAAATAGCTCAACTGATATGACAGTATTTATTTCTCTAAAAATGAGATATCTGTATCTCACATTCTTTGTTAGACTAAAAGAACTTATAAATAATTAAGGGTACAAATTTAATTGTGACCAGGTAAAATAGTTTTATATCTTTTAACTCCATTAATTTAATGTTATTTGGCGCACCGAGTATTACAAATTTCATACCTTTGGTGTAAATGTCAATTTTAAGGGTCCACACTAAGATTCTTTCTTACCTTAAAAATTGACAAATAAGACAGATGAATGCATAAAAAAGAAAGACAAAATAGAAGTTATAAATATGAAATATACTACTTACGAGTAAGTACTACGCTACTTATTTACCACCCTTAAAAAATTAACAACTATTTATTTTAAAAAATTATTTTAAATACACATCCATCTCTCTAAGGCCACATCTACCTTTCGCAATCGCAATGGAAATCAATCGGAATCCTAATGTTATTCCATTGATGTTGTTGACTAGAAATTTTATGAAATCGTAATCAAAATTCATTTGATGTTGTTTACTAAACCTATCTTAATCGAAATCGGAATCAAATATATAGCAATTACTAATATAGCCCTTACTCCTTTTTAACTAATTACAGATATATTATTATGCTAATCTTTTTTAAATTACAATAATAATAAATTTAATTTAATTTATTACTATACTATTGATAGTAAATATTTTTTATTATAAAAATTTGTCTAATATTAATAGATAATGAATAATTAAAATAAAATTACATAGATAAAATATTTTTTAATAGAACAACCAAACTTTAATATAACATATTATTAAGTTTTATTATTCTAATATATATCTACTTAAAAAATTTATTGATATTAATTAATATTAATTTATCATATTATATAATAAAATCAATTAATTAATATTAATTTATCATATTATATAATAAAATCACATCAACTAATAAAAATGGGAGTATAAATGGAGAATAAATTATAAAAGTATAAAAAAAAACTAATTAAAAATTATATGGATCTAATCCAAGAGAAAGGGTAAAAGTGGTACATTAATTATAATATATATGTGGGATCTATGAAATAAGGAAGGTGAACGAGATTGATAGGGTTATAGGAGTGTAATGGGCATTTTTATACAATGGAATTACAAAATTTGAGGTAGGTCCCACCATTTGATAACATTCCTTCAATTTGATAAATACCATAAAAAGGGAATGAAAGTTTTCATTACGATCCATCGATTACGATTATGGATTAGTAAACGGGACGTTAATATGTGCAAGAATGAACCAGTAAAACTCTGATATGAACTAGTTAATGCATCTTACTTGTAAGTGGTTCAATATCTCATTCACACGTCTACTTTAATTATTGCTGAACTTCGCGTTATGAAAGCGTTAAAATTTAAACAACCAAATTTGTAATCAAGCATAATTTGATGCCAACAATTACCCATTTTATTTCATCGGAATGGTTCAAATTCGAACACGTAGATTGTTAATGCGATCTGGTCGGTTCCTCACCACAAAAAAATTCTACACTACACAATCACTCCTCTCCCACTACTTCCAATGCCCACCAAATCTTGAGGCTCGAATGGCCGCTCTTCAACTTTCCCTCCAAAATTTCCTCTCAACCCCAACAGCCGGTTTCGGTTTCCGGCCATGGAAGTCCGGCGGACTAACAGTAGCCGGCCTCCCACCACGTCTACTCAAAAGCAGGACTGTAGATTTTAAACCCGACGCCCGAAATTCTAAGTGGGCTGTTCGATTAAGCTTGGTGGATCAAAGCCCCCCCAAATCGGCGGTTGATGTAGACCGATTGGTAGATTTCCTGTACGAAGATCTTCGTCATCTCTTTGATGAACAGGGGATTGATCGGACGGCGTACGACGAGCATGTGAGATTTCGGGACCCCATTACCAAGCACGATACCATTAGCGGGTATTCGTTTAATATTTCCCTATTGCGAGAGCTCTTCAGGCCTGAGTTCTTCTTGCACTGGGTTAAACAGGTTTGGTTCACTTCAATTTCTCTTGTATTACGATCAATTTTTCATTACTCATTAGTTTTGTTTAGGAGCTCAATGAAGAGTGCTGTTAATTTGATGTTGGTGTTGTTGGTTGAGCTCATGGTTAGTGGATTGAAATTGGGTTTTAATGCACTTGATAGTGAGTTATCCCAAATCCAGAGATGGCCAAGAGTAGAAACATAGAATTGTTTACTAAACATTAATCTGACTGATTGAATCGCTCTAGACAGGACCTTATGAGATTACCACAAGATGGACTATGGTAATGAAGTTTGTCCTTCTGCCATGGAAACCAGAATTTATTTTTACGGGAAATTCCATCATGGGTATTAATCCAGAGACGGGCAAGTTCTGTAGCCATGTGGTAATATTATCCTTCCTTGTTTTGAAAGTGGATGAGAGAATATGTGGCTGGTTGACCAGTTATAAAATTCTATTGATAAGCCACTTCATTCTTTTTAATCGTAGGATCTCTGGGATTCAATACAAAATAATGACTACTTTTCTCTAGAAGGCCTGTTGGATGTATTTAAACAGGTATTCTCGTTAGATAGTTGATGAAAATCATCCACAAGGGAAAATTCCGTTGTATCTCTGATGTATTTCTCTCTTCAGCTCCGGTTTTATAAGACACCAGAATTGGAATCACCCAAATATGAGATATTGAAAAGGACTGCAAACTATGAGGTCTGTTTGCTACTTTCCTTTGCTGTTTCATAATCTTTTGCTGCCTGTGTTGCACTAGATTATTATTCCTCTTATCTGATTTTAAAGAGGTCTGATCCAATATACATTTTTGCTTCAGGTAAGGAAATATACACCATTTGTAGTGGTAGAAACAAGTGGAGACAAGCTCTCTGGGTCTGCTGGATTCAATACGGTTGCTGGGTGAGTCTCTCTCTTTATATCTCTCTCTCCCACTCACGCCCTTGAAAAGTGGTACTTGCTGATTTACAGAAGATTTCACGTGCCTCATACTACTCGGGTAAGAGCGTAAGGTAGTAATGCTTTCAGCTACTAAACTCCCTTCGTCAGCACTCCATTGCCTTCCCTAGTAGCAGGAAACTTGTATAAAACCTTATTCTTCTTTCTTACAACAAAAAGTAGAGTTGCTGTTCTTGTGACATGTTGTGATTCCATAAACACAGGTACATATTTGGGAAGAACTCTGCAAAGGAGAAGATACCCATGACCACCCCTGTGTTCACCCAGACATTTGACTCTGAATCACCCAAAGTATCCATCCAAATAGTTCTTCCTTCAGACAAAGATATTAACAGGTGCGGTGATCTGATGGCTCGTTCAAATTGTTGTAATAAAACTATGAAACCGGACACACCAAGTTCTAGTCAAACTCAAACCATTGCTAGTGCTAAGCTGTTAATGAACTCAACTACTTATTGAACATGACATTACATTACATCTTTGTTCAGTTTGCCAGATCCTGAACAAGACACAATAGGCTTGAGAAAGGTGGAAGGAGGTATTGCTGCAGTGCTGAAGTTCAGTGGAAAACCTACTGAAGATATGGTGCAAGAGAAGGCAAAAGAATTGCGGTCTTGTCTTATAAAGGATGGCCTCAAACCCAGTAAGGGCTGTTTGCTTGCTCGGTACAATGACCCTGGCCGGACGTGGAGCTTTATAATGGTAAGTTTATGTGCCTTTTCATCATATTTTGCTGAACTTATGGCTTAACATGATTTTAAGGGTGTGTTTGCGAGGGTCTAAAATCACTTCAGTCCCCATAAATCTGTTTGGCAAATTAAAAAAATGATTTTAGAAAAATATAGAATCACTTAAAGTTGATTTTTAAGGTACGACGGATGCTGATTTTGAAAAAACAATTATACTTAAATATCTTTTTTCAAAATCAGTCATTCTACCATCACTCCCAAACACACACTTAGATGGTGATTTTGATAAATCAGCTATACTTAAATCTCTTTTGTCAAAAACACTCGTTCTACCATCACTCTCTAAGTTCAATAATATATTAGAAGTTTGTCTGTTCCATATAAATAGGTTTGTTCTAAGTTACTAGACTTAGACTTTGGTGTAAGTTTGGAAGGACTGTTGGAATAGTATAAATTGTTTTGGTACATTAGAAATATGTTTTAACAAGATTTTATAGTGTTTAGTTGTCTAATTAAAAGTGGTTTGGAATCAGTTCTTAATTATGGTGGTTTGGGATGATTTTTGGAACGGCAAACAAGTAGTTTTAGCCAATTAAAAATATCTTTTAAAATTTTCATGATGTTTGGTTATGGGTTCGTAGTTGAAAGGGTTGAGAAAATTTTAAAACACTGTGGATGGGTTTGGGATGGGATTACTTGTGGTGAGTAGAAAGTATTTGAGTCTATTAAAAGCTCTCTTCACAATTTTCAAAGCGTATTATTATTTCTTTTGAAAATACTAACAGAAAGTTTCACATTAAATCATTTTTTTCTCAACAGTCATCCTAAATTCATCTTAAAAACCATTTTATTAATGCTTGTTTTTCCTTAGTCTTAAATACCATTCTTGTTCGTATATTTTTGGTATGAGTTCATTAGTCCATCTACTTGTACTCTTCAGCGTTAATTGGTATATATTTTCAATAGGGATGACAACGGGACGGGATCGGGGGACCATCTCCATCCCTAACCCCGTACCCGAAATTTTAGCGGCGGGGATGGAGCAGGGATTCCATTAATATATATATATATATATATATATATATATTTAATTTTTAATTAATTTTTTATTACTAGTATAAGGAGGGAAGAAAAAATGGTTAATTGGGCTAGAGTTTTTTTTTAAGTTAAAAAATTATTTATAAAATTTATATATATTAATATTATTATATAAAAATAGAAAAAAATAAAATAAAATATTAAAGGGGGTGGGGATAGGGACGGGGCGGGAAATCCACCCCCGTCTCCGTCAAGGACCCCAATTAGGTTCTCCGGTTTGACCTCGTCCTCAGTCAAACCGGGGATTCCCCAATCTGATCGAGTCTCGAGGGTTTTTTTTGTCATCCTTAATCTCCAACTAAAGTTAATACTCACCTTCACATATTGTACTAAAAAAAATTATTTAATACAAATTTTATGAACCAAATTAGATGTTTTGAAATACTATATTTAAACTAATATTTGATTTAAAAATACTATTACCAATCTTCAACTCATCATTGTTTGATTGATGATATTACTAAATTAGAAAAGATAATCACTTAG